TACTTACATGGCCACTCATCCTTATCTTGTCTTCACCCTCCAGGTATTATTAGTTGAGTTTTATTATCAATAAAGACTCACGGTGATTCTTAGTATCGGAGACTATTTCGAGGGTACGATGCTTATATCATTTTTTTTTTCTGTACTTGCTTATGCTTTAACATCACGTGTGAAGTTGGTTCATTCCCGTTCACCAGTGCACTCTGGTATTTAGGCACTCTTAGGTTTAAAATTATTCACAATTTTCCACACCATCACACTTTATGGCTTCGTCACCTTCCAGGTGTCGGCCAGCACAGCTTGATTCAGAGTCCTAGTGGACATTCCGGGTTGGGGTGTGTCAAAATCCATAATTTATGCGATTAAAAATATTAAAGATGAATTATACTCTCCTATATATTGTGTCTATATATAGGTACGTTCATCAAAACTAACCAAAAAATTGTTGTAACAAAACATGGGTACATTTTCAAAAAAAAAAGGAAAAGATATTAGGCTTAATAACATTATTAAATTTCTTCTATTAAACTTGACATGGATACATTTTCAAATCAACAAAATAGAATGTACCCATATAAGTATAAAAATGGATTCGAGAAAAGATTGAATGAATTTTATATAAAAAATGGGTACATTTTATATTAAAAAAGGGTACATTTTTCATATAACAAATTGGTATATTTAAGAATGGGTCCATATAAGATTGAAAAATTGAAAAATTCTCATAAAAATTTAATGGGTACAAACTTATTCTAATTTTATTTTTTATATTTTGGAAATGTTTGAATTGAAAATTAACTAGGAGTTTAATAAGGGTGTGAGTATTAAAACTCTAAATCAATTACTAATTTTTATTATAAAATTTGTATAACTTACATGTAATTCATTAATATATTAATGTTAGGGACTTTGATTAAAATCTAAAAACTGATAAGGTCTTAATCAATGAACATTAGAAGTTAGGGACCGGATACTAATTTTTCCTATATATATATATATATATATATATATTGCAAATTCTTATGAATAACCGATCATAACACACCTCACTTTGCTAGAGAGCTAAATAAGTGACATCTTTCGACGAAAGAATTATAAACTTTTTACCGATTGAGACTTGGATAAATAACCAAATCCAAATTGAATATGCTCATAAATTGCTTGATTCTACAACTGCAGTATTGTTAATCCAAACTGAAGATGTTGCCGGTTGCCAACACAATGTTGCTAATCCAAACTGAAGGTGTGCTAGCAAGATATTTAGGATAATAGTATTTTTCTCAGGATCTGAGAAGGTTTCACGTAGCGTTTGAGTTGTTTGTTTGTTTGTTGAGCTGAAGTGCTTCTCATGTTGCACAACCACTTCTATTTATAGGGATGGATTTCAAGATAATCAAGCTTGCCAAGGTAAAGTCCTGATAAGACTATGCCTCCTAGGCACCTACTTGGATATCCTTTGACATTATCTCTTCAATCCCTTATTTAACCGAAACTCAATCTCTATCTGGTTTTTTCAGTCCCCTCAGGATAACCTAAAACGTCATGAAAAGGTGGTATGATCATTATATATAAGGCAAAAGATATGCAAGTTTTTCACTCAACGATGAGGAATTGAGGATAGAGGTTCTAACTATAAGCAAAGCTGATAAACTGGCACTTTTGCAAGTGGCAACAACAAAAGCTGCACTTTTCCCTATTCTTTGAGAGATTTTTCAGTGTAACTGGTACACAGAGTGGTACACCATGTATCATTATAAAAATGGTGGAATATATGTGTCAAAACGTTAATAACTTAAAAAATAAAATTTCTCACCACTTCTATAAAACACGTAGTGTACTACTTGTGTTTCGGTCACAATGAAAAAAATTTCCTATTCCTTTTGCTTTGGTGGCCACCAACAAAACTTTGTTAGCAATTTTAACCTGAACTATATCCGAATCATAGCTTTACAAGTCATATCCCAACTTTTATACAAAAAGACAGACCTCTTCTATTCTTCCTGGTGGGTGGTTGTTTTTTTGAGGTTCGGCCAACTTCCAGCTGCAATTTTATATGCCAAAATTACGGGATACGTAGTTACGTTCCGACATACGTTATATACAAATATGCTCTAATTCCAGGAAAATCTCGTTTTATTTCCCTTAATTTCTTCTTCTTTTTCTTTGTAGGGGATCTCAAATGTAATAGTTGCCGTATGGTGCTGTTGACATTTTGACCACGTGTGTTTTTATTTGCTTCCCACTTTATGTCTCTATCCCTCTCCAAATGAACAATGCGGCTGGTTTGTTTTCACAAAAGAGGAGTTACAAACATTTCGTGTTTTGACCACGTTTATTTTTCTTTGCTTCCCACTTATGTCTCTATCCCTCTCCAAATGAACAATGCGGCCGGTTTGTTTTCACAAAAGAGGGGTTACAAACATTTTACAAAGGAGGATTCGAATTTAAGACCTCTTCTAATGTATATTATTAAATAAAAAATTAGTTATATGGTAATTAATCCACCGGGGGTACATCACTTCCTTATTAAACAAAAGATTTTAAGCTACATACATATGAAATTATTTTCAAACAATAAATGTAAAGGTGAGGATATTAAGTAGGAGTCGATTAGAGATTCTACGGGCCGTTTATGGAGAGGGAACCTTATTTTTAATATAAAAAAAAATAGGAATTAGTTGTGGGATTCACTTTACATCAAATTTTAACAATCCGAACCATCTATTTTGTAAGTCTCGATTCATAGATCATCTTTGAGAAAATTCAATTCAATGGGAAACCATTTGCTTATTTAATTATCACGATGAAATTTCATTGTTTCTTATAGAACAAAGTGTTGGTCAATTTCTTTAAACTCAATTAGATGTCTCAAATATTTCCAATTTGGCTAATATTTTACAAAAATTGTCTATGAGGTGCAATCTGAAAAATAGACGATTTAGATCATTGAAATTCGATGTGGTGTGGACCCCACGACTAATCTCTATTTAGAAAAAAAATATGGAAATCTCTTCCCTTAATGAGCCCTCAATCATGACAAAATAAATATATATATATATATATATATATATATATATATATATATTACACATATTAACTAAACCGGTCGAATTATATTTGTGACTGTGAATACCATATATGATGTTTGAATTTACAACACGTTTCATGCTTTCATTTTTTGGCATTACCTAAGTGTAAATATGACGTTGCATAGTTGGCGGGTGAAAGGCAGGTGAGGCTTCAACTTTTACGAGAAAGGACGTTATGCCTTCTGAGAAGCACGCGGTTGTTTCCACGTTTCTTTCAAAAGCATGGCGCACTAAGAGATGGAGTTTAGCTTGAGTTTCTCATGCGTTTTACACTACTGTTTCCACCATCCAAAGTCGGCAAAGGTGGGTTTCCAACAGCCTACCTCCATCTGAATGGACAATTATCAAAGAGATGATGTAAATTTTAGGATTTAGCTATAATACTTACATGTAATTAATATAATATATTTTATTTAATATATTCACAAAAAATATGTGTTGTCAAATGAAATTGTATTACATGTAAGAATTATAGTCGATCTTGTAAATATAACAATGGTTGGAAAAGTTAGCAAGTTAGCAATTTAATTTAGGGAATTGCTATTAGTATTTCAAAAATCTTATTCTACACTCCTCATAAGTGTATTTTTCTTTCTAATTATAGAAAGTTTGGAATACCAAATGAGATTTTTGGAATACTAATAACAATTCCCTTTAATTTATTTTTATTTAAGTTACTTTGGTGTTTTATATCTTAAATTCTTTTAGTAGAATAACGATTATGATTCATTTCCTGTTTTTTACTCGGGTTCAAGATTACTTCCTAGTTTATTTATTGTTTTATATTTGTTTCATAATTACGTCTTCATAAATACAGCTCTTGTAATCTCGTATAAATTAAGTCTTGACATGATCAAGATGTAGTTCTTTCTTTATGTAGCCACCTTGTCAAATTATGGTCTTCTTCTATATTTTATTCAATGGAATAAAATTCAAAATTTGTGATCAAGTTTTATTCTTTTCTTGTCATTCGAATTTATCTTTATGCTAAAATTCACCACAAAATCAAAAAATAAAAAAATAAAAAAAAATCAAACGCATTCAAAATAACTAAAAATGATTTGAAATCAATTTGTTTTCTTCTATTCATTTTTATCAAAAGTTCAACCTACATCATCTGTAATAGTTTAAAACAAAACAATTTAAATTTATACTATCATCTAAATTCCTGTATTTGGAATCCTTCCGTCCAAATGGGCATATAGTGTCAAGATTTTATCCTTGTGTGATTAGAAAAAGACTTCACATTAGGCATGGTTCAAACAAAAGGACAAATGAAATGCAAAAGTAGACATAAACATCAAAGCCAGTTGGATTATTGATCGATGCATGAAGTAGTTGAAAAGGATGTGTATGGTATTAAACGTGTGGAAAAACGCAGGCCATACCTCAATCAAATTAGAGTTGTGGGCGCCCCTAAGCCTAACTTCAGTTTCATTGGACAAGGAATGAATGAATGAACGAACGCATGCTTTAAGAGGAGTTCGATCGCATCCACCTAACAAAAGATGAAAAGGGTTGGCCTAATTTGGTGGCAGCTTCTTACCAGATCGGATAAACGAGGTGTATATACGGGGTTATATTATATATATATATATATATATATATATATATATATCGCGGACTCGTTCATCTTTTTGTTTTGGAAGTGAATGATTTTGCAACTAGTTGTGAGTTGTGATTGATTTCATACAGAAGCCTTGAAATTATTATAATTAGATACTTTCTTCTTGATGGGGTGTGTACATAACACAAAGACTGCGCTTATTATAGATAAATATACAAGTTGGGTTTTTTTCCCAATTAAAGTTGTACTATATATAAATTAATCTAATTAATTAAATGGTTTTAAGAAAGATTTGGATTTGGGTGTAGTGGAAGACCACAATATTTAAGTCAAGAAGGAATAGTAATTTTCATTAACACACACGAACACACAAACAAAATTACAAGGGTTGCCGTATGAGTACATTCTTTAGTGACCAATAGATTGATCGGAAGATAATTCGCACAAATAAGCATAAACAGTAAATTCCTAATGGCTACCACAAACATCTCCCTACCAGTACAAGTACCTCGGTCAAATCCACCACAAAGATTGCAGGCGCATCAGACCTATATTGAGGCACACACAATTTCATCACTGGCAAGCAAGACCACAAAAATCATCACTTACAAACAAGGCCACATCACGCGCTAGGTGAGATATTACCCGCTAAATGCGGTACTTACGAAACATACACTAATCCGAGAACGGAGTCCACCGTTGGCTTATCTCCACCGATCGGGTCCTCTCCACCTGAGATGATACCGCATCTGTAAGATCCGCCGCTCTTGCAAACCAAGCATTTTTTTTTCCTTTTAATATGTTTAGCTGAGTTAGTTACGCTAGTTAAGAGAATCTTCTTCTTAGCATTTCTCATTAACATTACAACTGCGCTAGTTAAATATATTTTGAAATTAACTTTGTTGCCAAAGGAGTGACCATGAAGTAGAGGCTTATAATTAAATTATATATATAACAGTAAACATCATGTTGCACATGCATAGTTGACTCATCCCTCCCGGCCCTCTCTATAAACATAGGCTTGTTTCAGACTCCAGAAATCACTTGTGAACTACACCATATACACATGCCAAAACGGTATTAGAGAGAGAGGCAGAGAGAGATTGAGAGAGAGAGATGGGAAACATGAAGTGCGTAAAGAACTCCAACTCGATCATCATCCTGGTTCCATATCCAGCACAAGGACATGTCACTCCCATGCTTAAATTAGCTTCAGCCTTCCTCAGCCAAGGCTTTAAGCCAGTGATGGTCACTCCAGACTACATTCACCACCAGATTGACCGAAAAGTCGAACCCAAGGACAAGATTTTGTGCATGCCAATCCCGGATGGATTGGACAAGGACACCCCGAGGGACTTCTTTGCCATTGAGAAGGCCATGGAGGACAACATGCCAAGCCATCTGGAAAGCCTTGTCCGTCAACTTGATAAGGATGGTGATGAAGTTGTGTGCGTAGTTGTTGATTTGTTGGCATCGTGGGCTATAGATGTAGCCAATCGATGCGGAGTAGCCTGTGCTGGGTTTTGGCCTGCTATGCATGCTACTTATCGCTTGATCACTGCAATTCCAGACATGATCAGGACAGGTCTCATTTGTGCTGATACAGGTTAGTTGTTTATATATTTTCTATAGTATATGCATCATGTATGATATCAATCAATGTCTTCATTTCTCTTTCATATTTTCCCTCATTTTGTGTCTTTATTCAGGAGAACAACTTACATGATATAAGTACACTACCACTATAACGTTTTGTGTTAATAGTACAACAACATGTGAATAAAACTGATATATATTTGTCAATATATTTATGTCATAAAAAACTCCTTCGGTCAGTACTATATCTTCAAGTTGTCATTTCTATATGAGTATATTGTTACTTATTCCAACTTGATCATATTGTTTATCACACCTTTTTGTATAGATTATTTGGACTTAATTAATGTGTTCTAGACTTCTACTAAGAGATGTGATAACTAAACTGTATTGTTGGGCTCCTACGTAGAAGAAGTGCATTTATTTTCATTTACAAATCATAGTCTAACATGCACACATATATATACAAGTTGCTTATTAAAATTACAATATATACATATATACATATGTCAATTTTCATTTGTCAGTCAATAATTTTATAGTACATGTAGGCATTATTCTAATTAGGAACAACATGTTATATGGGGTGTGCTTCCGTTAAACACGCATGTATTGTGTGTGTGTATATTTTTTTTTTTTAACAAATGATGTTATCTACACATGTGTGCTTCACTTAAACACACATGTATTATGTGTGTGTGTGTATATATATATATATTTTATTAACAAACGATATTATCTACACGAAGATAGAGGAGGTGGGCTTAGCCTCACAATATGGGCTAGCAATAATATGTTTCAAATTTGCGTTTGGTGAGAATCAAACCTAAAACCTCTTACTTATAAGTGAAAAGGACTACCACTCGATCGTATTACTAAATGACATTATGTTTATGTATTGAGGTAAGCAAGTTGGACAAGGTTCTAAAAGACGTTAAGCACTAGTCGGGCAGTGGGTTGGGGCCTAGAGCCTAGGCGAGCGCCTAGGCGGACTAGGCAGATTTAAGTAAATCTATTATATTTCGTGTAAATAAGTGTATGTTTATACTTAAAATATATATAATTTCATTATAAACTATAAAATAGAATGACATATATATATATATATTATGAAGTATTTGAAAATAATGAAAACATGGGGAACAAGGATATAATGTGTGTTCATTTAAGTATGCAACAAGTCTCTTAAAAAAAAAAATACAAAATGAAAGTTATCTATTTTCTATCTAAGTAAGCCGCGATCTAGGCGGGTGCCTAGGCGGTCTAGGCACCCTTTCTTAAATTTCAAACGCCTAAGTATTAATCGGAGCGATGACCAACCACCTAGCGCCTAAACGAAGCCTAGGCGGCGTTAAGGGGGGATTTGTAGAACAGTGGTTATAAATATGTTTATACAACACCGATAAATATATGGTGGACCAAAAATATCAGTTATCAGTGGAAGTTCACATGAGAAGCGAATTGAATATAGTAACAAATCAAGGCATATGAACTTCGTCACCGTTGAACGTGTACGGTGTATCAATTAGTTGAACATGACATTGATTTTTGTAATTTAAAGATAATTAAAATAGACACGTTCCAACATTAACGAGGCAAATTAAATTGGTTATTGAACTTCTGGAAAGAAAAATCACGTGTCCTTGTAGATAGATTATTTTATGTTTGGAGTATTTTTTTTTATACAATGATATATTTTTAATAAGTGATAAGAAATAAATTGATTGCCAACTCGCTATCTTTAAAGTGAAGAGAAATATTACTAGATCGTAGCACTAAGGGACATTATATCTTTCTATTTTTTTAACTTCGGCGGTATGCGGTGAATTTTATTAATGACGAAAAAAGAAGTTAAACCTAATCAATGAGACATAACCTTACCCCTTATAATACAAGAAAATAAAAAATAACTGATAAAAAATAATTACATCTAGTCAGGAGAAACATTTTATCTTTTATTTCAATCACATATTCCATTTAAAATTTCAAATGCTGTAACAATTAAAGTAAAATGTATTTCTTCTGAAGTCTCATGTATTATATTTATTGATCACATTGTTGATCGTATTTTTCATACGAATTAGACCATATCTTGTACATCACTGAATCTCAAGTATATTCATGTATGAGTTAACACCATGATACATAGTTTCATAATATTAAGACACTAAAGTGATACCCTACTAATGTGCTATTGTTATACTACTGGCAGGATTTCCAAAACAACTAGGTGGTATATGCTTACCTAATCAGCCTGTGCTCTCTACTGAAGAGCTGCCATGGTTGATTGGCACTCCAGCTGCAAGAAAAGGAAGATTCAAATTTTGGACTAGCACCCTAGAGCGATCGAAAACGCTTCAACGGATCCTTGTAAATTCTTTCCCGAATGAATATTCCACCAATGATGAACAACAACTTCTCGGTGATCAATTGGTTAAGAGCACCAAAACCCAACAACCACTTGTTTTCCCAATTGGTCCTTTAAGCAAGCACACAACCACCAAGAACCCTAGCTTTTGGGAAGAAGACACAAGCTGCTTAAACTGGCTAGACAAGCACAACCCTAACACAGTTGTTTACATCTCTTTTGGAAGTTGGGTTAGTCCAATTGGAGAGGGTAAGGTGAGAAGCTTGGCCTTGGCACTTGAAGCTTTGAGAAAGCCATTCCTTTGGGTGCTTGGATCTTCATGGCTTGGAGGGTTACCAATTGGGTACTTGGAAAGAGTAGCAAAACAAGGCAAAGTTGTGTCATGGGCGCCACAAATGGATGTCTTGCAACACAAGGCAGTGGGATGCTATCTCACACACTGTGGGTGGAATTCAACAATGGAGGCCATTCAATGCCAAAAGCCTCTCCTGTGCTATCCAGTGGCTGGGGACCAATTTGTAAATTGTTCATACATTGTGAACGTGTGGAGGATTGGGGTGAAACTAAGTGGGTTTGGACAGAGAGATGTTGAGGAAGGATTGAGAAGGGTGATGGAGGAGGATGAGATGAGCAACAGGATGAGGAAGCTAAATGAAAGGAGTATGGGAGATGACGCTAATTTGAGATTTGTGTCCAATCTCACTGCTTTCACTGATCAGCTTAAGGTGTTAGCACTTGGGTATTCCAATAATGGTGTTTATGACTATGATTTCTAGATTAATTATTCTATTTCATTCTTATGTAATTTTGTTAGAGAGAGAATGTTTTTTTACTGTTATTATGTAGGGTGATACTTACGTCAAATTAAATTATAGTGTTGGAAGGAGATTTGAACTTGAGCGCATGAAGGAGCACATCCACTGTAGTAAATGTAGCCACTGCACATCTACAATGAATTTAAAAAACTTTAGACTGCAATTAGTTTAATTAAGTTGTAATTAGTTGACTCCTTGAACTTTCTTAATCAACTTGATGAGAACTATGCATAAACCAGAGCCACAAAAGAAAAGGAGAGACGTTCACAAGCAACACAAAGAAGTTTCCCAAATCTTTTTGTAGTTTTACGCGTGACAAGTTACATAAACGACTACATAGATTGGCATGCACTTAAGTAAGAAAACCATGGTACTTTATAGTAGAGATTAATTCATAAAAAGAAACTGGCTAGGGGTAATGATACATGCATTTGGTGCAAAGGGAGTTACTTGAAGAATAAGGGTGTGTTTGAGAAAATTATCTTCATTAGTTGATAAAGAATATCATTTTATACATAGTTGAGTATAAATGTGGACGTAATTACATTGGTTATAGCGGATGTGCGCACAGTTTGCATGAGAATTTGAATTTACTCCTCACACGTTAGATTGGTTTAAAGTAGAGTATCATTTGTATCCCAAATATGTAGTACAATACATTGGATACAAACGATGTTCTTATTCTACCATTCTTCATTTCTATCAATGTGATTTGATAGTCAAGACCATTTATTTTTAAGGAAAACTAATGAAAAGGGTTTGAAAACTTTGAGTTTTAATGATAAGGACAAAATAAAGGGTAAAGTGAATAGTACCAGGATTGACTTTTTAGTGTAAAAATGTGGTTTTTCGTTAAAGTGAACAGTACCGAGTGCTTTTCGTTAAAGTTCCCTTTATTTTTTGGGTCACTTAAAATCACCTAGCACAAAATCAACGTTGCAAAGATTTAGTTTTTTTTTTTAATTGCCAAAGCTTGAGGTATCTCACACCTCGAAGGATATGATTAATCTCCAATGGCGCCTTGAAAGGTTAAAGACATTTCAACCCACCCTTGACCACCTTCAAATGACACACCTCTTCCCAAATCTTTTTAACTAGGGAATTACCATGTTTTGCCAGCTTTGTGCCTCGAACTCAAGACTAAGGAGCATACTTGACTTTCTATGGCAATGGCATTTTCACTAGACTACTTGCGATGGTCGTTGCAATAATTCTTGGAGAATTACTAAGAAGATGAACTGATCATTAAATAACATTTTGCATGATGAAAAAAAAATGATAAAAGATAAGGGAAATGTAGCTAGCACGAAAAATAGCCAATCACAGCATACACTAAACTCTCAAGAAAAAAAAGGCTCTAATTGATATTCCAAATCATGATTCACACGGTTTACAGAAGTTGGAATTGTTTCACTTTGTGCGTGTTGGTTTCATGGTTTTTTATTTTTTTAAAATACTTTTTTTATAGAAAAGATACAAATTAGATAAAATCACCCATATTACAATCAGTACCAATACAATTAAGTAACAACGCTTTGTCATAGGTGGCAAGGTTTTGTCCCAAACATGAAAATTATGATACATAAATTCCGTACTAATAACAGCATTCGCTAAAAAATTTACTTCTTTAAACATGATTCTAAGTGATCACATCAAAAACTGAAGTCAACCATTTAATATAAGGAAAACTAATGAAAAGGGTTTGAAAACTTTGAGTTTTAATGATAAGGATAAAATAAAGAGTAAAGTGAATAGTACATGATTGACTTTTTAGTGTAAAAATGTTGTTTTTCGTTAAAGTAAACAGTACCGGGAGTTTTTCGTTAAAGTTTCCTTTAATATATTCTAAAATGTACCTCAAAAGCCAAATAATAGAACAAACCCCTTTTATATAATTAATGACCAACTTCGAAGCACCTTCGAGACACTTTTTTTGCGTTGGTTTACTGTCGGGAAAGAGGGAATGACGTCTTCCTTCCTGGCTTTTATTTTTTTATTTTTTATTTTGACCCTTCATTTGGTTACCAAGTCAAATTTCGAAAGAAAAAAGCTTGATATTCCCCAAAAATATATACAATAAAGCCGTTTTAAAAAAAGATTTAAAAAAGAATAATCTGTTTAAAGTCATAAAAGTTTTAGAAAAACTAACGAAAAGTCTAATTTTTTTTTTAGTTTTAATGGAAAAATGACAAATAAACGTGTAGTGAATAGTATCAGAAAAAGGTAAAAATATGATTTTTCGTTAAAAGTGAACAATACCAAAAGTATTTTATAAAACTTCCTAAATTTTTTAATACTAATTTGAGACCAATTTAGGTATAAGAGTAAACTTCATAACGTAATATGTTATAATTTTTCTAAGTCACATCTTGAGGACACTTTCATATAGTTATGATTTTTGCTTTGAGATGCGTTTAATGCCTTTCTTTTTGCACAACTTCATACGAATACTGATTTTTCATATTGATCTTACGTGACAGATTGATTTGACAGAGAACAAAAGAAAGTTATTCAATACCCCTTACGTATACAACAGGGCCTTGTGCATAGAAGAACGCCTACAAGTAAAGAATGTACATATGTTCAATAAATAAAATACTTGATGCTCAAAGAATTCTATTTAAGAAAACAACATTCTTTAAGGATGCATAAAGTTTTTTATTTATTTATTTTTATTTTTTTTAACAAACGATCCTAAGGGGAGGGCTGAGATTATCCTCACAATGGGCTAGTAATAGTGTAGCTCAAACTCGCTTTTGGCGAGCATCGAACTTAAAACATCTCACTTACAAGTGAAGATGAATACCACTAGACCGTAGTACTAAGTGTATTAAGTAAGTGTAATGCTAGGGAGACAAAAAATGTAAACTAAAAATTTGCAAACCAAATGATGTGTCAGCAATAGGAAATAAGCATGTTAATCAACGGTTAAGTAATAATCTTATCATCTACAACTATATTATTTGGTTTGCAAAATTAATTTAAAAAATTTAATCTCCCTAACACGATCCATTAAGCAATAGCCTCCCTAAATTGTAAAATTGGTTTCAACCTAATTTTATGATTTTATAGAGGTTGTACTGTAAAATCTGATTAGTTTCACATTTTAATCCTCTTTTTCATTTTCCCCAGATATTTATTATACAGTTCAACTGCCTAAAGGTAATATATATTTACAATTATATTCATATTTGTATTATCTTATTTTATTCAGTTGCATATCTTGTAGTTCATTCAATTCCCTGTTTGGTTGCTGAGAAAATACGACAAAGAGAAAACTTGGATTTGAGATCTTCCTGTTTGTGGATTGCTTCTGTGGACTGCAATATTCAGTTCAACAAGTTCATTTGATTTAATTAAAGCTCAGCTGAGAGGTACAAAGATTTTCTCTGCAGATTTTTTTTTCTCAGGAACTGAATTTAGCTACAGGTTCTTATTCCCCCTGCTTGTATATACAATTTATACTTTTGTGCTTTTCAATTATTTTTAATTTTTTTTGCTGCTGCTATTGAATTGCTTTCCTTTCACACTTTTATCTACTGTTTGGCTGGTGAGAAAGTGAAATGAAATAGAAAATCAGATTATGTCATGATCAATCACTGTGTTTCCCATTCAATTCAAGTCAAGCCTTGTACTTTCAAGAATTTGATGATAATAGAAATCAAAGATGCAAACTTTTCGTTTTTTTTTTCATTTCTTTTCTAAATTTTCTCAGCAACCAAACAGAGGATAAGTGAGGGGGCAAAAATGATATGTCATTAATCCGTACATTATTCTGACATTGTTGCGGGTCTTTTAGCTCGTAGCTACCGCCATGGCGGTTGTTGTGTTTTGGATTACTTTGGTGAGTTATTACGCTTGACATGTTTTTGCAGGGGTGTGTAATCTTTGTAGTTGAGCCAGTATGAACGGAAACTACAGCAATGCAAGTGCGAGTTCCAGCTCGAGTTTAGATAGCAGCANGGTGGTTATTAAGGCTGCATGGTCTGGCTCTAGGGACTGACTAGGTGTTGCTTTATGGGTTACCTTGTCAACTTGTATGTAGTTTTTTTCTTGTTAGCTACGCCTTAATTTAAGGAGATTTGGTGTAAGTCTTTTCTCTAGTTGTCAACTCCTTGATTTAAGGAGATTTGGTGTGTAAGTCTCCTAGACTAGCTATTGTGTAGTGGTTAATGGGGGTTTTCCTGATGGCTGAGTGCACGGTCTGTGCACTGATTTCTACCCGTTATATATCTTCTCTTCCTTTTGTAACTCTATGACAATTGTAATAGAGAAAGAATCTCTATACTTGAAATTCAAGAAACAAACCACTAGACCAAGCTTTGAAGTCAAATCTAAATCTTTAAAAACCAAAAGATGGTTGTGGCCGAAGGAATTCCGACATGGTGGTGCCAACGACCATGGACGAAGTCGAGGTTAAGGTCGAGGACGAGCTAAAGAAGATTCCATGATATCGTGTTTGGGTCCGCCGTGCATGCTATGTACAGAGTATGTATGATTATTGATCCCTATTGCTAGCAGCATGATAGATATTTCTTTCGTCAAAATGTTGCTTTTCCTTTTAACCATTCCGTCATGAAAATGACATCATTGACTCTAGTATTGGAACCGTAATTACATAGACATAGAGTTAGTATTGTGAACTGAAAATGACATTCGTAGCCCTTGAACTCACCTTGTTTTCCCTTGTTGAGTATTTGAGTAACCTCAATCATCAACCACGAGATGAGCCAACACCGAACAAATCTGTTCACATATTCATAAGGAGTAATCAGTGTTAGATTTTCTGTTAAAGTACAAAATTATACCAGTGAAATGCATTACAAGGGCAATATCTTAAGTTCACTTGTTCAACGAATGTGCAACAAAATCCATTCAAGACATGCATGACAAAGGCCATATCCCTATTCATGACTTCAGGGCTAGAGGTCTTTGTCCGGCTGTAAGTCTTCAGTTTCATCCTTCGAGCTGCCCGTATCAAACAATACTGTATACTCGCCCCTCCCTAGCTATTATTCTGCTAATAACAGTAAAATCCAAGCATATATTCACATTCACACAGATATGTCCATGTATATATATTATATACTTCCATTTTCCGGAAAAATAAGAAAATAAGAGATAGAAAAATGAAGGGGTTTCGTCAAATTCAAATAAAATGAAGTTTGTTTGAGAATTCTTTTTACAGCTGGCAGAAATATGCGTCCAAAACCTCGCAATCAGAATCATCTGCCTGCAAAAGAAAGAACTCAGAAATTATAAATAAACGCAAAACATATAACGATGGCAGTATAAGGAATGATAGGTAAACCAACAAGGTCTTCCTCAACTTTTGATTTATCATATAAGGCAAAGAAGGTGTGCAACCATCAAAGCAGAAAAACTGAAAATTTTACTCAACACCAGCTTCAGCAGCTTGGTGAGGGTTGTTTTTACCCTTACTCCCATTTGTTAAAATATCCCACATTGATCGTATCAATGAGAAAATAAGAGTTTAAATATCCTAACGTCACTCCAACTAATACCGATGCCTTTTTGTGATAAAACTCCACACCTGAGGATTGTGCAGGTGGTTAAGTGGAGACAGTATCGGTGTTGTTGGAAGTGGGTTGTATGGCCCGTCTCTCTGATAATTCTACACCATTATGTTGGAATCCAAAAGACCTGTTCGGATGATCAAGACTCGATATTGGTTCAATCATTTTATCCTCCTTGACTGATTTTATAGTTTCTTTGACCTTAAGAGTGCGTAATTGTACGGTAAGATTATATATCAGCACCGAAGATGAAAAATGAATAAATCTATAAGAAACAACGGCAGTTAACACCAGAATTGCAAGCTTCATATCTAACTTGTCAATGCTATGCTAGCCTTTCAATTTTGAGAAGTGATGTAACATATTTATCCGTTGAACACTTTAGCTGAACATTTTGGGTAGGGGCTTCACTGCCATTGATAGATCCCTCGATCAACCTTAACCCACAGAAGCCATGAAAGAACTCAGAGAGAAAATGACAAAAGAATCTTGATATTATTTCATAACCATTTTCTGTTTCTTACAACTCTAACTATATAGCAACTTTCCCCAATTACATTTTTACCCCAATTACAGCTATACCAACTACTTTATTACGAATATTACAGCTTCATTACTAAGATGATGACATCTGGCCCCCACACAATTGCTTTATAACCACTATTTTGTTACTAGAATCCAAACAGAATCCTAACATTACTCCCCCCTTTTTAGAAATAGCCTTGTCCTCAAGGCTTAAAGTCAGGAAACTTCGACTGTAGAGTATCCCAGCTTTCCCAAGATGCATCTGTAACAGGATGATTCTTCCAATGCACTAACACTTCTGTTGATGAAGTTGTTCCGGTGTTAACCACCCGCCGGTCCAAAAGAGCTTCTGGGACAAGGTCATCATGCAATAAACCAGCATCTTGAACTGTTGGCAAAGGAATAGTAGGAATGATTGTAGTGCCCAGTTTCTTTTTGAGACATGAAACATGAAAAACTGGATGGATCTTAGAGTGACTTGGGAGTTTCAACCGATATGCCACAGGTCCAACTCGATCAAGTATCTCCAAAAGGACCATAAAAATTGAGGATGCAGCTTATGGAAGGGATGCAAAGAAAGTGACTTCTGCTGGTAGGGGACCAATCGAAGATAGACAAAATCCCCAATTGCAAATGATCTCTCAATTCGACCTTTGTTTGCTTGAGTTGTCATTCGTTCTTGAGCAGCTGCTAAGTTGGTTTTTAACAGAGATAAAATTCGAGTTTCGAGGTCTTGTCTTTCAAGCAGTGATCCACCATATCTTTGTTGTACCAGATTCATAGAGTGGAATATGGGGTGGTGGCTGTCCATACACGACCCTCATAAGGTGTCATTTTAGCTGCAGAATGATATAAGAGGTGTTATAGCTCCATTCTGCCCAGAGGAAGCCATGTCAACCATTTCTTGGGTTGCAAGCTGCAAAAACAACGCAGATATGTTTCCAGACACCTATTGAGAAACTTCAGTTTGGCCATCAGTTTGGGGATGGAAACCTGAACTGAGAACAGAGCTTGGAGCCTTGAAGGTGAAAAAATTCCTTCCAAAATGCGCTGATGAATATTGGTCTCGATCAGATACGAGATAGAAGTAGGCATTCCATGCAATTTAAACACCTGATCAATAAAGACTTGTGCCACTGAATGTGCAGTATATGGGTGAGATAAGGGCAGGAAATGGGCAGCTTTTTGATAGTCTGTCAACGATGACAAATATAATTGATTTACCCTTGCAGAGAGGAAGGCCGGTGATAAAAAATCCATAGCTATATCAGACCAAATTCTTTGAGGGATTGGTAGTGGAGTAAGAAGGTCCAGCAGGTGCAAGTGTTCTCATACTTATTTCTTCTGACAAATATCACATCCAGCAATCAGTTCTTTGATATTGTCTTCATACCCTCCCAATAGAAGGATCGGGATATCCATTTATAGGTTTTGAGAAACCCTTCATGGCCTGCAGATGGAGTACAATGGTGTTCTTCAAATATTCTTGTCCGCCAAGGACTTGTTGGACTAACAACAATCCGATTCTTATACTTCAAAAACCCATTATCAAGCTGGTATTTGAGCAAGTTTAATGGAGTCAAATCGGAGGATTTATGTAAAACAGCCTGAGACTTCTGTAAAATCCAGTCATCTTTTTCAACATGCCTCCTCAGATCATCTAGCCAGGACATATAAGGATATGATAAAGCAAGTAAATCACTATAAAGAATATGAGCAATGTAGTGTAATTGAAGCAACATTGCCTTGATCAAGACTCCTGATCATGCTTGAAGCCATAGGAAGCGCATTAACTGGATCCATAAATTGAAGTAGCCTGAGAATGGAACATTCTGGATAATGCATCAGCTGCTTATTGTCACTGCCTTTCTAATACTGGATTTCATAATCAAATCCCAGTAATTTGGAAAACCCACTTTTTGCTGGAAATGAGAGTTAGCTCTGTTTTGAAGAAAATATTTGAGGCTGTGATGGTCGGTTTTGTATAATGAAATGGCTTCCCAGTAAATAGGACTGCCACTTTTTAACTGCATGAACCACAGCCAACATTTCTCTTTCATATGCAGAAAGTGCCTGATTTTTTGGGTCCTAAAACTTGACTGGTGAAATGCAATAGGCCTGCCACCCTTTTGTTGCAAAACTGCCCCTATTCCCACACCAGAAGCATCGTTTTCAATAACAAATGGTTTTGAAAAATCTGGCAAGTGCTAAGACCTGAGGAGACAACATTGCATTTTTCAGTTCGTGAAATGCAGCAGTGGCCTGCAGGACTCCATTTAAACCCATCTTCTTCGTGAGTTGGGTCAGAGGTCCACTGATTCTACCAAATTGAGGAATGAACTTCCTATAATACCCCGTTAAGCCAAGAAAACCCCTTAAGGCCTTCACAGAGGTAGGTAAGGGCCAATCTGCAATGGCTTTCAATTTAGAGGGGTCAGCAGCTACTCCATTCTGAGAGACAATATGGCCGAGATATTCAATTTGTTTGTTTCCTAAAAGTACATTTTGACAGTTTCACAAACAAGTGATGAAGTTGGAGTACACTGAGGGCAATACTGACATGCCTGCAGATGCAATTCCCAAGAAGTACTATAGATCAGGATGTCATCAAAGAAAACTAAGATGAATTTCCTCAAGTAAGGCCTAAAAATCTCAATTCATTAAGCTTGGAAAGATGCAGAGGGCATTTGTTAAGCCAAAAGGATAACGAGAGAAATTTCATAATGTCCCTCATGAGTTCGGAAAGCAGTTTTTTTTCAATATCTGCAGGATGCATACGGATTTGATGAATAACTAAGAATCCAGTTTAGAAAAATATTGGGCACCAAAAAGCTCATCTAATTAACTCATCAATCAACGGTATAGGGTACTTGTCTTTGATTGTGAGGAGATTAAGTGCTCTATAATCCATGCACATCCTCCAAGTACCCTCTTTTTCTTCACTAAGAGTACTGGAGAAGAGAATGGACTATGACTCGGCCTGATGAAACCTGATTCCAGTAACTCATTGACACATTTCTCAATTTCAGTTTTCTGAAAAGGACCATACTTGTAAGGTCGAGCTAGGGGTTTACATCCTTCCAACAAGGGGATCTATGATCATGGTTTCTGGATGGAGTAACCAGATGGGCTTTGAAAAATGGATTATACTTGGCTAGCAGTACTTGCAATTCACTATCTTGGGTAGCATTCAACTGAGACTGAGGAGATGGTACTGTGCAAACTTCAACGAATACTGATTTTTCATATTGATCTTACGTGACAGATTGATTTGACAGAGAACAAAAGAAAGTTATTCAATACCCCTTACGTATACAACAGGGCCTTGTGCATAGAAGAACGCCTACAAGTAAAGAATGTACATATGTTCAATAAATAAAATACTTGATGCTCAAAGAATTCTATTTAAGAAAACAACATTCTTTAAGGATGCATAAAGTTTTTTATTTATTTATTTTTATTTTTTTTAACAAACGATCCTAAGGGGAGGGCTGAGATTATCCTCACAATGGGCTAGTAATAGTGTAGCTCAAACTCGCTTTTGGCGAGCATCGAACTTAAAACATCTCACTTACAAGTGAAGATGAATACCACTAGACCGTAGTACTAAGTGTATTAAGTAAGTGTAATGCTAGGGAGACAAAAAATGTAAACTAAAAATTTGCAAACCAAATGATGTGTCAGCAATAGGAAATAAGCATGTTAATCAACGGTTAAGTAGTAATAATCTTATCATCTACAACTATATTATTTGGTTTGCAAAATTAATTTAAAAAATTTAATCTCCCTAACACGATCCATTAAGCAATAGCCTCCCTAAATTGTAAAATTGGTTTCAACCTAATTTTATGATTTTATAGAGGTTGTACTGTAAAATCTGATTAGTTTCACATTTTAATCCTCTTTTTCATTTTCCCCAGATATTTATTATACAGTTCAACTGCCTAAAGGTAATATATATTTACAATTATATTCATATTTGTATTATCTTATTTTATTCAGTTGCATATCTTGTAGTTCATTCAATTCCCTGTTTGGTTGCTGAGAAAATACGACAAAGAGAAAACTTGGATTTGAGATCTTCCTGTTTGTGGATTGCTTCTGTGGACTGCAATATTCAGTTCAACAAGTTCATTTGATTTAATTAAAGCTCAGCTGAGAGGTACAAAGATTTTCTCTGCAGATTTTTTTTTCTCAGGAACTGAATTTAGCTACAGGTTCTTATTCCCCCTGCTTGTATATACAATTTATACTTTTGTGCTTTTCAATTATTTTTAATTTTTTTTTGCTGCTGCTATTGAATTGCTTTCCTTTCACACTTTTATCTACTGTTTGGCTGGTGAGAAAGTGAAATGAAATAGAAAATCAGATTATGTCATGATCAATCACTGTGTTTCCCATTCAATTCAAGTCAAGCCTTGTACTTTCAAGAATTTGATGATAATAGAAATCAAAGATGCAAACTTTTCGTTTTTTTTTTCATTTCTTTTCTAAATTTTCTCAGCAACCAAACAGAGGATAAGTGAGGGGGCAAAAATGATATGTCATTAATCCGTACATTATTCTGACATTGTTGCGGGTCTTTTAGCTCGTAGCTACCGCCATGGCGGTTGTTGTGTTTTGGATTACTTTGGTGAGTTATTACGCTTGACATGTTTTTGCAGGGGTGTGTAATCTTTGTAGTTGAGCCAGTATGAACGGAAACTACAGCAATGCAAGTGCGAGTTCCAGCTCGAGTTTAGATAGCAGCACTCACGGTACGGAGGATGATCAAACCATTGCAATCATCTTGGGAGAAGAGGAAAAGCTGAAATTTGATGGCACGCTTGGGAAAAGACTGTGCCACTTAAATTCGATTCCGGTATGTTCCTCGCTAGTCGTTATGTCTACAATGTTTTGTCTTCCCTGATTGAAAAATTGTACAGGTGTGCCACCATAAGGCCTCTTTTGTGTGTGCTAGAGCGTGTGTGTATATGAACATATGTATTCATGTGTCGTATCAATTCTATCGAAAAACTACATCTGAATTCTTAATTGCAAGTTCCGAACTGAAGTGTCATTCTTAATTGCTGATCTTCTGTCACCAAATCTACATCTGAATTCTAGTGTGATAAAAAACTTGCAGTGAATTAACACAAGTATATTTTTATGTAAGTTAATGATGCTGGCAGAAAATAGGGATGTGCTAACTAATTCACACCCTTTCACAGTTCATGATAACTGGGAATTGGAGGTGTTACTTATACATGCCTTTAGACGTAAATTTGTGCTGGTATAGAAATGTATGTAGTATGGGATATGAAATCTTGTTGCTACTTAGATGCGGGCCTTTGATACTTTTGACACACTAATTTTTCTTCTTTAGATGAGCACCATTTTCCTGTCTCATACGCAATTGATTGCTATGTCTGTTGGAATTGAGGAGACATTTTTCAAATGCCGATAAGTCTATTTTACTTGTTTAATTCTTGCTCCACTGTATGAGATAGTTTGTTTGCTCCTTTATCTTAAGATAAAATAATACACTCTCCACCTACTGTCTGAGCAGTGCATATACGTATGAGCTAACCTTGTTGTCCATTTGACTGAAAATTGGGTAGCTTATTGGTATTTAACTGTATATACATATGTACTCACTGATTTATTGTCCATTGCAGCACACTCCCCGGGTAAATGGGGAGATACCTGATGTGAATGATGCAACCCAAGACCATGAGCGCCTGTCAGCGAGGTTGTAATTTCTGTAATGAGCTCTCTACACAATTTCTGTAACGAGCTTTCCCTTATTCAGTGCTTATAGTACACCACGGGTTAGGGAACATAGTTTGATCATAACTTCACAAATTTTATTTTCTCAAAACAAACTTTAGAAAAATCCTTCTTTCTTTTTTCTGAAAAGGCAGAGTGGGGTTTATTGTGAACTGCTCATTGCAAATATCCCGGTATCCTTTGCTACTTTCCTTTTGGGTATTATTTGTTGGTGAACTACTGAGAGATGTAGCTATGACCGAGCAGCTTGTTGTGCACTTGGGTTTGTAAATGGATGATTTGATAGCTGGAAGAATCATCTTGATTGTAATATCTTTTTATTGGTTCAGGCTGGCAACATATGATTTATCTGAACTGCAGATCAAGGGCGATGGAAACTGTCAGGTTTGGCTACAATAATTAATTTATCACCTTATTGTTTTCAAAGATTTGCATCTGTTGACGTTCTATTTATCTTTATACATTGATTTGAAACGCAAAGGCATACCACATGTATATTGTTATCATTTTATGTATTTGTTATTTTGTTTACTTGGGTTAAGTCGGCGTAACCCTTGATTTATCAACCTACATTAATTTGTTTACAGCCCTCTTTTTCTCTTTTTGGGAGGAGAGGGGTTTTCGAGTAATTCCAAGATATTTGGTTAATATGCTGCAGTTTCGAGCATTAGCAGATCAATTGTTTCGGAATCCAGAATACCACAAGCATGTAAGAAAACAGGTGATAAAGCAGGTACGGCTGATGAAGCTCCTTTCAGTCCATTCAATTCTGAACTTAGTTTAGTTATGTACCTTGACCTAATATTTTCATTTATTACTAGTAGTCGATATGCAAATCTTAGTACCTCACTGTACGGAGTGGACGCAAAATCTTAGGAGTAACACTAGGATAGCCGTTTATGTTTGCATTTTTCCTTGCTTTTCGAATTTCACAAAAATGGAGCTTAATTCTGGTTGCACGTTTTCTGTATGTTTCAGCTAAAGCATCACAAAAAACTTTACGAAGCTTATGTCCCAATGAAGTACAGTCGCTACCTGATGAAGATGAAAAAGTTAGATTTCTGCGTTCATGCCTATTATTTAGTGAAAAATTGAGACATTTTGCAATATATATATTGAACTGTTACTAAAAGTTAAATGGATTTTGTACACAAAACTATGGCACTAGAACCGGGGAGTGGGGAGATCATCTTACACTACAGGCAGCTGCAGATCGAGTAAGTTTGACTCTCCTTTTTCTCCCTTTCGCCAGGTTCTTTTAAGGTCACTTAGTGAAAATGCTTACTTTCTTCTTCACCCCACCGTTATTTAAAAAGTAGTTTCGGTGAGATCAAAGTAAAGAATTGTAAATCATTGTTTCTTTGCATATGTTGATTCTTCTGTTTGCTCTCTGGTAACTCCATAATGGTTTTGTTCTTTCCCGCTTTATATAATGCTTAGTTTCACAGTGATTGGTTTCTAACGGTTACGGATTCTTCTGTAGTTCGGAGCCAAGATTTGTTTAATCACCTCTTTTCGGGACACTTGCTACATCGAGATTCTTCCTAAAGATGGGAATCATGCGCGAGGTATATCTCATTTGCTCACTTTATCTTTATTTGAATTAAGTCGTGAAAGTCGAAAGAAAATGCACAATGTATTTATTAACCAAGTGGTACTGATATGCTGTGGAAAATCAAGCCAAACTAGCCAAGTTGGGCTTTTGGATGGAGTTAAGTGCATAACTTGATATGTACATGGGGGTTTAAACTTTGTAATAAAAATTTAACGAGGTTGCGATTTTTTGTATTTCGACTTTCGTGTGTTTTCAGAGCTTTGGCTGAGCTTTTGGAGCGAAGTGCATTATAACTCCTTGTATGCAAGTGCAGGTGCTGAACTAAACTATTACTTATACTTCTCATTTGCAATTAGTTTCTTCTTGACACTTTGGTATCGGCACCATTCCAAGATATAATCAGTCCTCTGATTGCTTTTCACTAATCTGTTTACAGATGTTCCGTCAAGAACTCCCCGAAAGAAGCATTGGCTGTCATTCTAGCGGTATTTCAAACAGTCTTTGGTTTCAAAATATTCCATATACAAGTTACATTAGCAAGTATATTATGGTGATGGGCATTGTAACTTGGTGAAAACTAACAAGAATTCAGATCTTTCTTTTCGCCGGGATGCCGGAAATTAGACTTTAGATATCTGTAAATAGAGCTTACATGTTAAAAGGATCACATAAACGAACTAAGTCAACACTGAAAAATTGGACTCCCCATTTCATTTGGAACGTATTGCAAGTAAAATGTGGTCTTAAGTCATCTCGCAGATCGGTTGGCAACTGAACATCGTCTGTGCAATATGAGCAATTTGAACTCGGAACCTATTTTATAAAGTGAGCGTAAAAACGTCACTAGACCAAATAATCATTAGATTCAGCGGGTGAATTAGGATTATGTATGTAATATCCTATGAACTTAAGATCTCTTATTGCGCGAGAGAAATAAAAAAGCACCTAATGTTTGACCTTGGGGCATTCCTGCCGACCTTCTCAATAATCCAACTTTCTCGACTCTATTTCTCGTTCTATAATATTATACGAGGATTCAAAATTTCAAACAATTTTTGGATCACGTTTTAAAAAATTAACAAAAAATCCAAACTGTTAGACGAATAAATGGTTTTGAATTTATTTGATGTTTGACGGATTTAATTTTTAAAAAGTAATCTCAAAAATAAATAATTCAAGGCATCGAACAATATTACCGAATAAGGAGAGTCGAAAAGATGGAACGTGAGGTTGGTCTTGGACATAGTTCGTTAATCAAGTCACGCAGCAACGCGCGCCAACGCCGAATGATGTACGCAAGCACCTATGATAACCGGTGGCACAACAATACGAAGCGTCTCACTGACCTCCACGTGTACAACACGACACGTGTATCTTAACCATTGGCTTCTCCACTCTCCTAATTTTCCACATAGGCATTTCTTCTGCTCTTTCTGGTATACTAAAGTTCCGCATCTTAATGCATTCACTGAGAAAGTTCTCGCCTTCACTTTCTTGCTACGTTTTCTCGTCAACCAAACAGAAAATTGTGCCGCCAGTCTTCTGGAGGATGCGATCTGCACATTACTGGTATCCCTTTCTTTCTCTCTCTCTCTCTCGTTCTCTAACTATCTCTTCGCTTTCGTTTTCCTCTCTCTTAATTCGATCATTTTTTCGATTTTCTCTCGACGTGAAATATAAGATGTTCAAATTTAAGTCCTCTGTTTGGTTGCTGAGAAAATGGAAAACGTAGTGCGGAAAAAAATTAGGGTTTAAGCTTATTCAATTATGTTTTTTTTTCAATGAAATTGATTCGAATTTCGGATTGAAATATGTACACAGAGCAATCAGTTGAGCTTAGTAGACTCCCGCTTTCCATTTCTTCGTTCCCAAACAGTATACAAACTGTAAATTCTCGTATAAATTAACTGTTTTTTTATTTGTTTTATCAGTCGCAAGTTAGAAAAATTGGAATCTTTATGCTAATATTTGTCAATTTTTTTTGTTGTGTTTTTTCAGACGAAGCTTTGAAGTCCTAGGGTTTACCTAATGCAATCTAGGATGGCGTCGATCCTAATCAAGCTAGGGTTATTCCTATCTGTGCTTTGCCTCATGTTTTCGCCTTCTCAATGTGCGGTTATGAGTATAGATCTAGGCTCTGAATGGGTGAAAGTTGCGGTAGTGAACCTTAAGCGCGGGCAGAGCCCGATCACAGTCGCTATTAACGAGATGTCGAAGCGAAAGTCCCCTAACTTGGTTGCATTTCATTCTGGTGACCGCCTTCTAGGTGAGGAAGCAGCTGGATTGGTTGCTCGGTACCCGGAGAAAGTCTACTCTCAAACAAGGGACTTGATTGGAAAACCCTTTAGTTCCAGCAAAACCTTTTTGGATTCATTGTACTTGCCATTTGACGTTACAGAGGATACTACGGGAACTGTTATTTTCAAAATTGATGATAAAGTGACTACTTATTCAGTCGAGGAACTAGTGGCGATGATTTTAGGTTATGCTGCAAATTTGGCAGAGTTTCATTCAAAAGTGCCCGTAAGGGATGCTGTAATTTCAGTTCCTCCGTACTTTGGGCAAGCAGAGAGAAAGGGGTTACTTCGAGCGGCACAGTTGGTGGGGATTAATGTTCTTGCTTTGATAAATGAGCATTCTGGTGCAGCATTGCAGTATGGGATTGACAAGGATTTCTCAAATGAGTCAAGGCATGTAATTTTCTATGATATGGGCACCAGCAGTACCTATGCGGCACTTGTTTATTTCTCGGCATATAATGCCAAGGAGTTTGGAAAGACCGTGTCAGTCAACCAGTTTCAGGTAATTTCATTCCAATTCGAATTGTTTTCCAACATGTAATATTTTGAACCGATGCTTTCCATAGTTACCTTCTACACATGTTATATTGGTTTCACAATAACGCAATAACATCTACCGTGTGTAAATAATCCACCAACGCGAATTTCCTCCCTCTGTGTTCCTCTATTTATGGAAGCATAGTTTACTTTTGATTCTCATGTGATACGCAATTATCTCGGCCAGTTCTTTTAAATTTTATTCTCATTTCTCATGTACAGGTCAAGGATGTCAGATGGAACCCAGAACTTGGGGGCCAGAACTTGGAATTACAGTTGGTGGAGTATTTTGCAGAGGAGTTCAATAAACAAGTAGGGAATGGTGTTGATGTGAGGAAGTCTCCAAAAGCAATGGCTAAATTGAAGAAACAGGTCAAGCGTACAAAAGAAATTCTAAGTGCAAACAAAATGGCTCCAATATCTGTTGAATCCCTTTATGATGATCGGGACTTCAGGTTGGTGGAATTTAAAGTGTATTATACTCTATTATCCTTGTTCCAAAGTTCCTTTATCATTGTTTATTTATATTAATTTAACTAGTGGAAGCAATGAGCAGTGAAAGGAGTTCATGTGTCAATTTTTGTTCGTGCGGCTGTGCCTTTGGGATGCCACTGTTGAAAGTTTTCATTAACTATTATTTTTACCGTTGCCATACTTCTAGTTAATATAGGCTTTTAATTTTCATGATTTTCACTTCTAGAGCAGTGGAAAATAGGCTATGTTAAGTGTTTGAATTTAAGTACTTTTCACATTGCGCTGGAATTTGTCATTAGTTGTCCAACGTACTATACTGAACATAATCATTATGTAGTTGTGCAACTTATGTAGATAGGTTTCTTTGTGATGCCTCTGTTGCCATTGTTGGAAGTTCTATTATTAATTACTATTTATTCCACTGCTATGCTCTGGTTGATGTAGGTTTTCTTATAAAAAGCTTGGTTTACCCTTCTAGATTTGGTGGAAAATAAGCTATGTTAAATTTCTAAAGATACATATGTTATTACCCTGTGTACTCAGGCAATTTGTGTTAGTTGTCCAAGATAACAAGCTGAACACTATTTATTTCCCTTTCAGGAGCACGATAACTCGTGAAAAGTTTGAAGAGCTCTGTGAAGATCTGTGGGAGAAGTCGCTAGTACCTCTTAAGGAAGTGCTCAAGCATTCTGGTTTAAAGGTAGATGAGATATATGCAGTGGAACTGATAGGAGGAGCTACCAGGGTGCCAAAGTTGCAGGTTTGACCTATACTATCTCCCTTTTGCTCTATGGTGATGTCCTACCTCACCTTGATATTAATGTTGCCAATTGAATCTCGTCATCTGAGTTTTATAAAGAGTGATCACAAGAAGGAATTCTCTCTTTTTTTAATGACAGGCTAAGCTTCAGGAATATCTTGGAAGGAAAGAGTTGGATAGACATCTGGATGCTGATGAAGCTACAGTTCTTGGTGCAGCATTATATGCTGCTAATTTAAGTGATGGAATCAAACTGAACCGGAAGTTAGGGATGATTGATGGTTCTACCTATGGGTTTGTGCTTGAGTTAGATGGCCCCGATCTTCAGAAAGAAGATAGCACTAGGCAGACACTTGTGCAACGGATGAAGAAACTCCCCAGCAAGGTAAATAACATGGAAAAAAAATAGCAAATGTTATGGTTTTATTTTATAGTTTTTCCCGCTAAGTTGACTCACTATATTTTGGTTTGCTATAAAATAGATGTTCAGGTCCTTTATCCAGAGCAAAGATTTTGAAGTGACACTAGCGTACGAGAGTGAAGACCTTTTACCCCCTGGTGCCACCTCTCCTGTATTTGCTCAGTACTCTGTGTCCAGTTTGACAGAGACAAGTGAGAAGTAAGGATTTGCATTTCCAGATTCTTTCTGTACGATTTATTCTGCAGTGCTCTAAAGAAGTTCTACCTATATGTCCATGCAAAAGCATGAGATGAACACTGACAACATTTTATATTTGTCCTTTCCATCTTATTTAGGTATGCATCACGAAATTTGTCTTCACCCATTAAGGCAAGTCTGCATTTCTCTTTGAGTAGAAGTGGTGTTTTGTCGTTGGATCGTGCAGATGCTTTTATTGAAGTGTCAGAATGGGTAGAAGTTCCTAAGAAGAATCTGACTACTCAGGAGAATTCAACTAATGTTGCACCCAACATATCCACTGAAACTGGTGCTCAGAACACATCAAAAGAAAGCAATGGCAATACTGATGATGGTGGAAATAGTAACAGTTCCAACTCTACAGTAGAAACAGACGTCGTTATTGAAAAAAAGCTGAAAAAGCGGACCTTTAGGATTCCACTGAAGGTATATATTTATTAGTTAATCCTCTTAAAGTTCTTTCGTGCTTCTCAACAGCTCAATAGAAGCTCGTATCTTCTCTAAACTCCTTTATATATTGTAGATTGTTGAGAAAACAGTCGGACCTGCGATGTCTCCTTCAAAAGAATCTCTTGCTGAAGCAAAACGTAAATTAGAAGAATTAGACAAGAAGGATGCAGAGCGGAGGAGAACGGCAGAGTTGAAAAATACCTTGGAAGGATACATATATGGTATTAAAGAAAAGGTGCATAGGTGCAATCGACTATTTTTTTCTTCTCGGCATAAGAAACCACCTTCATTGTATAATATGTTTTTCATGAATATTTACGATGTTTCCAAATATTTCTGGTTTTTCTGTTGATATTATGCCCTTGCAATTGTTGTTTGATGAATTTATTAATGTAGTTTGTTTTGTATTTTCTCTCATATCATGTATCTGAGGATATTGCATTGATTTGCTTTGTATTGAATCTGATGTTATATCTCCTTGTGTTTTTGCTTTGATAGACTAAATTATTTTGTTCTAGTGCTAGATTCCCTATTTTAAAATTTTAGGTCAACAATACTGTTCTTGTTTCAAC